AAATGAGTTTGAGTTTGAAATGAAAAGCCAAACAGTGCTTCCTTGCCTGCTGGAACGGATTTCGTGGGATCCGGAGACACTCCACGTTACCACAGGTGCTTCTCCTTGCGTTCAGAGTGATGCCCGGAGGCACCTGGGCATCCCAGGTCTCGACGGGTGAGACTGTGGTGAATGCGGATGGCAGACCACCCTGTCTTCCATGGGTGGAAAATGATGCACGTAATGCCGTCTCCTTCCACCCTGCCGTCGGCGTCGGAGAAGACCGGCCTGGGCGTCTCCCTCTCTGCTGTCTCCTTCTGGAAGATGACTTCCTCGCAGAAGGAGGCTGCCGCAGTCCAGACTTCGCTTTCACGACGCTGGGCAGCGAGAGATCCCGTCCTATCGCCATGACCATATCATGAGACTAAAATTGTTCCCCCAAAAAGTTCTTTTAAATAGTTCGCGACAGCATATGTCTATCTTTTAAGGGGACTTACTGTCACGTTTCTCCTGAAATCAATGGGGGTGAAACCACAGGGTATCCCTAGTTATGCAGTGTAAAAGTTAGGTACTCAACAATTTAACATTGTAGCGAGATAATTTTATCTTACATAACTCTACCGATGGGTTCATTTAATGATAACAAATGACAAATACTGGCAACTGATAATAGGTATTTAGTATTTATAAATAGTGCCTCTTATTATATACTCGTACATGAAATATTGCCGAAGCTATTTTTTTCCAATCTTATCTAAGGTCTGGGGGGCTTGAGTATCTGGCATCGCCTAAGTTTCAAATTGTTGTAATTGTTTTTCTTTACAAGACCGTAGGAAATCATATTTCTATATGCCTTTTCATGTGTCACGAATGAACTTAAAAAGGTGTGTTATTGTATTATTTGTCAAAATAAGCACAGAAAAGCACCCGCAGGTGATATTAAATATGCGTGCAAGCCTCTTGCAAAAGGAAAAGGGACTAATGGCTCTCCTAGCATTACCGTCCTGAATCGAATTCCTGAAACCCAAACTTTAACACCAACTGAAAAGTAATAGGGATGATGACTATTTTTTTCTTCGTTTATCAGGCAGATTATCAAAAAGTATTGGACACGTATTTTTTCTTTTTTCACATAATATAAACATTGCAGAGATATAATCATTTGAAAAGTCGCATGACGTCACGTTTGAGTACACTTATGAGTGAAAATTCACTCAAAAGTGACGTCACGAGCCCCTACTCCCAAACTTTGACGCGCTATAACTTTGCCAATTTTTGGTTGATTGCCCAAAGAAAAAATACGTGTGCATTATGTTTTGATCATCTAACTGACGGACTAAATAGAATTTCGTTTACTGTACCCTGTCATCACCCCTATTCACTAGCTCTCTTACAAAAACTAAATATCTTCCATCATTCATATCAGAACAAAACGTGAGTTTAAAGCGTGAAGAGTATCTTTATTTAAAAGTAGGTACATGAGTGGCAAACATTTTCCTCTTTTAAATACCAGTAATATGTATAATACAAGTCATTTCCTTACTGTACGTGTGTGCCTGACAATAAAGCAACTTACGCGTGTAATGCAGATTACAGAAACAATTGCGTAGGATAGAAAAATATGTGAATGAGATAACTGGTGACTTCCCATTTAGATAAAAACGAATTGGTGGCGAGAGAGACACGCCTAAAATTATGGATGTCCAGAACACGGTACGATTATGTGAACATTAAACGTTTTTAAATAAATCAAGTTTCAACTGTATAGATCAGTGTTTCCTAACTTTTCCAATACGGATACCCCTGTAACCTATTCGGAAAACAGATTTTACCCCGACTTTAAAATGTTATCATCAGTCCAAGAAATTCCAATTGGACAGCTACATCTCTAATAATGTCATCGTCAGGAGAAAATCTCGCCCCGCTGCCCACAGTCAGGATCAGGAGGTCATTATAGGATCCCTGACTGGTCATTGTCCCCTAAACAAACACCTATATACAATAGGAGTTACAGACAGCCCCCTATGCAGAGGATGCATGGAGGCAGAAGAAACGCCACAGCATGTCATCATGGAATGCAGGAGTGTGGCCGACCAACGGGCACGACTTCTCCAGTCACCAGAATCGTTTCCGGAAGCTTGCAGCAGTCTATCAAGGCTGCTTTCCTTCTGGACCGATATAGGCTGGCTGGAGTAAGCGGGAATGTTTATGAGATACGCACAATGGTCCAATAATTAGGACTAAGTGCGGAAAACCCACAGTCAGCACCCCGCAGGCTCGCTAGCAAGAAGGAGCGCATGCTCTATTTAGTAGAATTATTATATAGTATTTTCTTATTGTTTAGATTTGACCAAATAATTTGGTTCTTTGTTACCCCCGAAGTATGGCTGATTTACCCCCGGATGGGTAATTACCCCCAGGTTCGGAACCCTGGGTTCTATGATAGATACACTGATTTATTTATTTATTGACGTTTCGAACTAAATATATTATTGGGTTGTCTGCGTCGTCTGCATTATAACTGTTAGTTTATGTTAAACATTTTGTTTGTCTACGGTCGCTGCAATATTACGAGCATAAAATAATTAAAATAATTAAAAAAAGGTTTTTTTTCTCACGCTTTTACTGGACTGTTAGAGAATGCCTTATGGCATTATGTCCGCCATTTGCTTTTAAATTTTGCAATAAAGTTTAAATAAATAAATTAATATTTTTTTCTTTGTTAACAATAATTTATTTGTTTCATTACTCATGATAATAGAATCAATATTTGTAATTTGCTCGCGTAGGCAACTATATGGGCTTCCAAATGGCCAAACACTCAGTGTGTTTGCTATAGCGCGTATAGCGGCGCGCGCGCACAGAGAAGCCGTTTCGCAACCAACATAGCCTCGCCACACATGACCGATACGTGCCGCGAACCCGCTCCTTAATAACAATTATCTGTCTGTTGTCTTGTGCAAACAGACATGGGTGAATGTTGTTTTCTCACATTTGTAAATTTACTTTTATATATTGAAAAGAAAATATATTGCCCCTTGCCGTCTATAGGAGGGAATGAAAAGCAAATATTGTATGTATATGATGCTCTGTCTGCCATTACAAAGCATGTGTAATGAAACTCTGCAGAAAAAACAGCCTCTAAATGGAACTTCTCATACTCAGCACTAGGGCACGCGGAACGCGGTAAATCACTTAACCTGAATCCCTTGTTATCGAACGAGATAAATCACAAAAGGTGTCGCGACGCGTAATCGTTACAATTAAACGGTAATGGAGCGCGTGACGTCACGCCTTGCGCACAATTACAGCACTCTTGCGCAAGGAAAGTGCCCGCGAACCGGTCGCGGTCGCGCAAAATTTAGTGCACCGCTTATGCCGGTGACATTGCGATCCGATCTCAAACAGTGTCAAAGAAACTCGTGTATGTTACATTTTGAACAAAACAGTTCTAATAGGTGATATGTTAAAGATACTGTCTAGACTGCTTCTACCTCTTATTTTTGTAGACAATATTACCAATATTAAACCACTCTCAATTTTGCTAAATGAATGTGCTATTGGGAATTATGAAATAAGAATGATAAAAGCAATGATCAAATTCAAATTCAGGTGAACTCTATAAGGCTTCTCTGTCTGTAAACTTAACTTTAACCATATTTAAACTGTTTCCTTATCATTAGAAGGTCTTAAGTACAGGCACCCATAATTTAAAGAAAAAAACTATGGGCAAGTGAGTCAGGAATCAGTTTTTTTTAATAGTAACACAAAATCAATACCTACTACATTTGAAAATAATAATTTTGCACCGCTGCATTCTTAATGGATGACTAATGACACAAAGACTTAAGAGTACCAAATGTCAAACAAGGAATAGAAGAAGTAGTCAAACGTTATAGTTCACGCCTTAAATCACATTATTGATGTCTCATATGAAATGGTATGATGCCTCATTAGCATTGACGACTGTTTCAAGAGGCGCCCATAAGCCTCATCAATGGACAGAACAGCTCTGCAGGCAAGCACATGGTGGAGCAGCCATAGACTTTCCCCTGATAGTTAGGAAGAAGAAGTAAATCACAACTTCAGATAAAAGCCGTAGAAAAGATCGCTGGAAAAATTTACAAAAAATATGTACTTTAAAAACGGATTAGGTTATTTTCGTTCAGTAATTCATAGATTGACACGCTTCCAGATATATTTTGCAACTCAGTTACGTTAATCCAATTCATTTATTAATATTATATAAAAAGACGATTAAATTATAGAATTTTAACACATCTGTTAAGTCACAAAACCAAAACACAATAAAATATTTCATAATAAACGCAGACAGTAGAAAAGCCTTGTATTTTCTACAAAAGCTTGTTTGTAAATTGCCGTATTGGCGGTGTCCCGTAGACAATCAACGCCATCTATCGCTATTTGCTGGCACCGAGTGCATGCGCAGGCGCAGCCTGACCTTACTTAACGTGGCGCTGGTTGGCTCGCCGCGGAAATAGGACGCCTTTACATCTCCATCATAATTATTATGTTTATCAGACTGAAATAAACATTGTAAATATGATGTCTCTGATATAGAATTTCTACTTAGAGATGCATAATGGAGCGTTTTTTACTTTCGTAATAGTTCTGTTGAAACTGAAAAATGGAATGCGCTCTTTAATAGTGCACATAAAATAAAAAGATTAAGTTTAAATACCTACGTCAGACAATGACTTTTTAATACTTCTCTTTACTAAAAATTACAATTGAAAACCAATAAGATTGCATGAAATAATTGCGTTTAAGCGTATTCAAATTCATCGAATACATAATTAAAGTCGCGTTGCATAATAACAATCCTGCTTTGTTTCGGTTATCTGGCTTACGTGCGTTGCGTCTCAATCAAGCAATGTCACCTTGATAAGAGCCACGAAAAAGTGACACGTCCCACCTTTTAATAACTGCTCACCCCCGATTCAATATAGCGGATAACGTGCCGGAGTCAGTAAACACGTGGTAATCGGAAACCTTTTCAGCTAAACACAAGCTGGAGAGTGAAAAACTGTTAGGGCAGACAGACCGCGAAAAGCGAGCGCAACATTTCTTGCGCTGGGCGATGTCGGCGCGGACAGGGAGCCGGGATGCGCGCGAGTGTGCGTGCGTGAAGGTCAGCCGTCGGCGTCATTTCCTGGTCATTGGCTGCCCCTCCCCGTCCCCCGTCCCCTGCCTCTGCCCCCTCTACCTCCGTCGCCCTCCCTCCCGTGCCCGCCGCTGCAGCGCGATCTTAGAACACACGCACACCGCTTTCCGGTCGCACAGGAAAACGCTAGATTCTGCCATTCCACATGCATACCACTCGCAAACTCAATCAATACATTTGCGCCAAAATTTTGCACACATCCAGCGGTCATCAAATAAGTAGGTACTATTGTTATGGTCATTGCAAAACAATGGTTACCCAAATTCTTATTAGGTTTTTTTTTATACGAGATATTGTCACAAAGTGCATTGCAATTAAGTTACAGATAAGAATTGTCCCATGCATTTTTTCATGGTTACTTGGAGGAAATGGCTTCGGCGCTTTGCAAATATTATCGTACTAATTCTCTTATCATTATCAGGTGCAAAAATAAACGATATTTGGCCAACTGATAGTATATCGGATATATAATTTATTTTGTGTATTGACGTAACTGTTTCCTCAGTGTTTGAACACATTGTTTTGCACTCCAGCAAGTAGGTTGCGAGCTGCGCCGTTTATATCGCAAGAGGTTTGTGGGGTAACCCATTTATTGCGAGTGCGGGATGCGCGGGCGCAACCGGTTCCTGCCCTCCCGACCTCCCCCTTCCCATGAGTTGTTCGCATACTTGCATCCGGAAATAAAACGATGCGTCCCGCACAGAAGCGAAAGAAACACTACTCAAAGTATACAGGGATAGAGCACATTTTGAAATCATGGCTATTCTTGCATTTTTTTAGCCGCCCGTGGCTACTAACTGGCTGAGTGAAGATGACATTCTAAGGCTACAAACGGGCGTATGTACGGTGTAACCTTGATCTTGGGCAGCCAGTAGGATGCGTCCAGCGCGTCGCTAAAAATAGTCCGGCGCTGTTTAAAATGCACTCTTTTTTATCGTCTCGCCCGAAGCTTCCCAGGCTTGCGAGGGACTTTATTAGACCAGTGAAGCGGTTCATTAAATTGTAAATAGCAGGTACACAGTAGTCGCTAACATATTCAACCCGTTATCAAATGAATTATACATCGAGATCTGTATCTATAACTATATGAACGGATTTTTAGTCAACGAAGATTGCTTTGCTATTCTTTGGAGTTGAATTTCCTCTGATTGGCGAGGTCTACTCATGATTTCCAACAAGGAAGTGTGACAATAGTTTGGCTGGATGCCTTAAATGGGCGCTTGGAGAGCCTTACGCAATGATAGTGATTAAAATATAGCGAACCGAACGTGACGGCCAACGGACACACGTGTTAGCTGCGGGGTGAACGACCTGAGATAAGGCGCGCGAAAATATACACGAGTTAGATAATATTAGAAAGAAAATGGCGACCATCGCGGTGTTTATCGCCCGACCCGAGATACTCGGATTAACATACATTCGCGAAAAAAATAAATACTTATTTTTAACTTGTTACGCGTGTAGTGAATTGATAGCCAATATAGATCTGATCTCTACATTGTCATTGTCTTAAATAGCATCTTCAATTTTCGGAACGTCTTCGATTTTGCAAAATCATATTGGTGTCGATAGATTTACACAGAACTGTTATTTAAAATTATAAATACATTGGTATAAACTTTGATACATTTCTATTATAATTCAGAAAAACACGAAGAAATAGGTTTTTTAATAGTGGTGATGACGGGGTACAGTAAACGAAATTCTATTTAGTCTGTCAGTTAGATGGTCAAAAAATAATGGACACGAATTTTTTCTTTGGGCAATCAACCAAAAAATTACAAAGTTATAGCGCGTCGAGGTTTGGGAGTAGGTGCTCGTGACGTCACTTTTAAGTGAAAATTCTACCAAAACGTGACGTCATTAGACTTTTCAAATCAATATATCTCTGCAATGTTTAATATTATGTGAAAAAAGAAAAAATACGTGTCCATAATTTTTGATAGTCTACCTGATAAACGAAGAAAAAAAAATAGTCATCATCCCTATTGTCACCTTTAGAAATCTCAAACTTTAATTGCTTATTTGCAGAAGTACTTGAATTGAAACCTATTTTTAACACTAGATCAAAGGCTTCAAAGGGGTCGAAACTACCGTAGGAATAATCCCAATCTGTACGAATATTTTATTTTCACGAAAATTCGCCTAATTCGGCAGCAAGTAAGGTAAGGGATAATTTTTGAAAACCAATAAAAATTACGTAAAATAAAAACTAAAAATGTGCTTCTCTGCCGGACCTACGGATTTAGTGAAACTAATGATTATTGAAAAACAAGACGAGCAAAAAAGTAAGACGTCACGCGTCCAGAAATAACTGATGATAGCGAAATGACAGGGTCCAGGCAGCATCGCGCGAGCTCTCTTCCGGGAGAGCAAATAAATCTGCGGCATATGAGCTAATTGCAGCCACACGCCGCGCCCGCCGCCGTCTGTACTCGTGAATTTATCGTTTCCCGATAAACAGGCCCATTTAAAGTTTTCAGAAATGAAAACGGTAGCCAGACCGTTTAATATTTTATTACAGAGCTTGTTTTAAGAATACATTGCCTATTTCTACGAAAGACCATTAAAACTTAGATACATTAAACAATGATATTATTGTATTATTGTTGTTTTCCTAGAAACGTGGAATGTGTTCTCAAAAGCTCTCCATTTTCGCGGAGGCGAAAAACGAATCTTAATTCTGTTTTGCTCGTTCGTTTACCTGAGTATAACATAGGTACATTTTACATAATTACAAGTATATTTACATAATTTTTGTATTATCTAAGATAAAGACAAAATTGAGACCACCGATGCGATGGTTCCGTACAAAGTAGGTTTGCAACATAAATTACGCAACATCTGTACGTTCACCTAAAAGTGTGATTTTTAAATTTCGTGAAGGTATCAATCACGCGTTCCTGAGATAAAGGGTCTTGATAGACAGACAGACGGACAACAGACTGATCTTGTAATGGTTCCGATTTTTCCCTCGAGGTACGAAACCCTAAAAATTAGTTTCCGATTTTTCCCTCGAGGTACGAAACCCTAAAAATTAGATTCCGATTTCTCCCTCGAGGTACGAAACTCTAAAAATAAGATTGAAAACTCAAGCAAGGTAATTTTGTGTTAGCATTTACCTAATAGTCAATATACTAGATATATCAATGTTAACATATCGTAATTGGAGAGGAAAACCGCGTGCCGGTGACAGGCTCGCAAGGCATTGGGGTCAAGGCGGCGATACCCAGCGTACTGACGCAATCTAAACGCTTTTATCAACCCAACTCATTGTCTTATCACAAAAATTTGTCGCACTTAAAACCTCTTTGGATTTCTAAACTTGCCTCTGGAAACGGCCGCCAACTTTTCGTATCTGTTGACTGACTTTTGGCCGGTAAAATGCGGAACTGATAAATTCGCGCGCCGACAAGAATAACACTAGTTTTGCACACAGTGAAAATTTTCGGCTGCTTGCTATTTTAGCTTTCCAAATAGAATTAATCATTTTTATTTTTTTAAAACACACAACAATTAGCCTAGCCCCAAAGTAAGCCACTATAAGGCTTGTGTTATGGGATGCTGGGATAACGGTTAGAATACATATACTGTACAAATATAAGTATATTAATATAGAAATACATATAAAACATCCATGACTGGAGTACAAATGCTCGTATTCATCAGACTAACATCTGCCCCCACCGGGATTCGAACCCGGGACCTCTCGAGTCGGCGACACCATAAAACCCGGCTTACAAACCACTCGGCCACGGAGGTCGTCGAATATTATCATTATATTCATACGTGAAAGAAAAGCTTTGACAGCCCTTTTGAACCCTCATATTGTCATGTGATAAATAGTATTCTTCGAAGACCTTTAAAGATCGAACTTCGTCTAATTAAACCACGGGTTATTAAGCACTAGCTATGCCCCGCGGTATTACCCGCGGTTTATTAGGGACCTTTTCCCGCAGTAAAACGTAGCCTATGTGTTTATCCGGGATGTCAGCTAACTCCATAGCAAATTTTATTAAAATCGCTCCAGCCGTTTAGACGTGAAGAAGTAACAAACATACACACTCACAAACTTTTGCCTTTATAATATTAGTGAGATTAGTGAGATGAGATATTTTCAAAATTCAAAATTCAAACTCATTTATTCAGTCTAGGCTGTTACAAGCTCTTGTGAAAGTCAAACGCTACGCCATCGGTTCGTAAATCTACGGCGGGAGAGCTTGTACTGAGAAGAACCGGCAAGAAACTCAGCAAGAGCTATTTTTTTCTCCCTGTTTTGTTTCATACAGTGTCGTCAATTGAAAGATGACATCAAAAATTTAATACATGTGTTCATGTGTTTCATTTTTAGATTTTTTGATTTGTGTTTGCATTATTAATAAAAAGTTTATTTAATCCAGTACAACATTACTGCAAATGTAGAATTTAGTATAACACCTGTTGCCTGGATAATGGAGTCAATTAGATATATTGTGGTGCATCCGGCTCGCTTCGTATATAAAACGGTCATAATACGTTCATATTGTGTGTGCAGGATGGTAACAGTCGCTACGTTTCATCACAACACTGCAATGTCGTGTTTTGATAACAACTAAAAATAAATTTGCACGCCAATATCACGTTATTTATGCGTAAAATGAATCGAAAACAAATTACCTAGGTACGTAATATGAAAGTGACAACAAATGCAATGAATAACTTCAGATTTTGAAAACGAATGTACCTATTTATGTTAATACATACAATATAATTATTACATTTTTTTTTAAAACAGTCACACCAATTAGCCTAGCACCAAAGTAAGCACTGTAAGGCTTGTGTTATGGGATACTAGGATAACGGATAGAATACATATACTGTACATATATAAGTATATTTATATAGAAAAAACATATTAAACATCCATGACTGGAGTACAAATGCTCGTATTCATCACACAAACTCTGCCCCCACCGGGACTCGAACCCGGGACCTCTCGAGTTGGCGATACCATGAAACCCGGCGTAGAAACCACTCGGCCATGGAGGTCGTCATATAATTATTTATTATTCGTAAATATTTGCACTTGAAACTTAACTTATTTAGCAAGCGACCAGGAAAACACAGTTGATGATTAGGTACTATAAGGTCTTGCGAAACCAAAACAAAACGTAAAAGTATTTTATATTATTTCAAATTATTCTGCATCTAAATCGAATTCATTATAATTATAATAACATATTTTCGTATTAATATCAAATTCCCCACCGCACCGAAGCCCACTTAGAAACTTATTATAAAAATTGACAAAAATTACAAATACGTACAATAATTTTTAGTAAGCTAAGTTATGATGATATTATGATGCCTCCTCTACGAACTCGTTACATTTAAAAAATTAGAACCGAACTTTGATCAAAGATTTCAATGGCGTTATCTTGACACTAAGCTACAAACTTACTTGTTTTCTTTGCTTATTTATACAAGTCCAAAAAAAAATATTACATCCCTCAGTTAACTTTAAAGTATTGTTTTCATAATACTGCATGAGACATGCATGCTTAATTTCGACTGTTGTCAAAACTTCATTGTGTCACTTCGCGACTCCCACCGCCAAATCTATAGGGCCTCTATCTCACAATTGTTTAGGTTGCGTTATACTTCTAGACTAGCATCGAGGCTAAGAACATTGCAAATATTTTTATTTTAGTTTGCATATGTGAAAATAGAATATTTCAGCGACTCTACATATTGCGATAGGCATTTTTTTTTTCAGATAAAAATCAATGTCACTTTTTTATTTATGACTAGCGGCCCGCCCTCGCTTCGCTTTGGTGTAGACTACAGTTTTTGTTCTCAGACATTGTATTATACACAATGACATTCATCTATGATTCTTCTTATACCTGCATGCAAAGTCTCAGCCCGATCGGTTTAAAATTGACAAAATTTCATACAAACTTTCATTCCCTATTTTATCCCCTTAGGAGTAGAATTGATCAAAATCCTTTCTTAGCGGATGCCTACGTCATAACATCTACTTGCATACCAAATTTCAGCCCGATCCGTCCAGTGGTTTAGGCTGTGCGTTGACAGATCACTAAGTCAGTCAGTCACCTTTGAGTTTTATATATATAGATATCTGCATGTTGATATTATTGTATCTGAATCGAGTGATTATAAAGACTAATGTGTGGTTTTTTTCCTTTGATTCCAGTGGGCGGTGTGAGCGAGAGGGACGCGTACGGGTACGGTTACGGCGGCGTTGGCGGGGGCGGCGGGCACCACTTCGCCGCGCCGGCGCCGCCGCCCCTGCCGCACGACGACCTGCCCTACTCCGTTTTCGACTTCGGCGACTACCAACGCCACCACCACCACAACAAGCTCAAGCCCAAGAAGCGGCCGCGGCCAGACCACCCCCCCGCGCCCGGCGTCAAGCGCAAGTCCCGCGAGGGCTCCACCACCTACCTCTGGGAGTTCTTGCTCAAGTTGCTGCAGGACCGCGAGTACTGCCCTCGCTACATCAAGTGGACGAACCGCGAGAAGGGCGTCTTCAAACTGGTCGACTCCAAGGCCGTGTCCCGGCTGTGGGGCCTGCACAAGAACAAGCCCGACATGAACTACGAGACGATGGGGCGCGCGCTGCGTTACTACTACCAGCGCGGCATCCTGGCCAAGGTTGACGGCCAGCGGCTCGTGTACCAGTTCGTGGACGTGCCCAAGGACATCGTCGAGATCGACTGCTCGCTCGCGTAGATCGCGCGACAGCACGCCTCCTCGAATCTCCAGTGCGCGAGTGTTTGAACGGACAGACGGACCCGCATTCATAACGTAACGTTTCGCTCTTACATTTTTCACTAATTAGTAAATTCGTCTATTTTTAAAATCATCATGCATTACGTTCTCCGATTGCTTCTATGATCTTAAGAATAATAAACACGGATCGGATTAATGTTGACTTATCGTTGAATTTAATATTTATACAAAAATAGGAGAGACGAAATCGATTGCTCAAATGTTTATATAAGCACCTATTTTTAGGGGTATTTCAGAAGAGGAACACTAAATTTGCTAGTTGTTATATGGGACGGAGTGATTTTTGTATAATGTTGAAAACGAATTTTTAAATGTTTGTAATGGAGTTTCTATATATTGCATGTTAAAGTCGATGGCGCTCCTCGACTTACGAAATCAGAACTTCCTACCTCAAAACTACGCAAAAACAAATATGATTCATATGAATATACACTTTACGATATTCGGAAATACAGTTTATACAATATGCAATAAGTAACATTATAGTCTATTAAGAGTTTATAGTGAAGAAATATTTACCTAAAATGTTTATATTATGTATAATTAATGACAAAAATATCATATAGTTTCATCCTCAGATAACTTTGTTGGTGCTTTTTATGGCCATTTGCATATTTACATCTTGTTACAAACGAGCAACCTCACTACTGTTGATTATACATATATATTATATAAATATATATATATTCATAGAGTATGAACACTATTTATATGAATTACAAAACATAATTATAGCAGTTTTCATAGTGCAGCACTGCGCCTGCGCAGTTATGATGTATTCCGAGTCGTTCCTGCCCCCTTATTCACTAAATACACTTTTCTAATGTTACAGAAGTTGCAGTGATAGAAACAATTGCTTATTTCCAAAAAGTTTTCAGTGAATACGAGGGCTGGCCACTATTTGTTTGTCCTTCTCTTCAAACCGAATTTCCAATTGATATTACACGGTTTATGTTATTAGTGGAGTCTATATTCTGCACTTGAACTGAAATCTACTGCCAATCTTCTGTTAGAATATTTTAAAGAGATAATTTGTGCGTTATTGTGTTAATTATTAATAGAAATAGATGTTTACTATATAAGTAAGCTGTTTTAGTGGTCATGTTCTAGATTATTTCGTTTATTTAAATTTATGATAGGAGACCTGTTGGGAGGTCTTGCGCACCAACGATCACGGCTCGACATATCAACATACATATATTTATATATTTGTAACAAAGTTAAATATATATCGCAGTATTTTCATAGACATCCTATTTTGCCCGTGCATATCAAAACATTAGCGCTTCTGTACATATATTCTAACCTAATTGTTTCCGCCGTCTGCGCAAGATCTCTATTTTTTGTTACCTGAATAAATATTATTAATAATTAATTACGATATGTGGTCCAATGTTAATGAATCATGATACTTTTAACTAGATAGTGGATAACAAAAGATTTTTTATTAAGGATTTATAGCCTAGTGCACGTCGGCATGCGCAGTTGAATAGATACAATATTTCAATGCAATGACAAAACACGATCCTTCTTACGACGTAAACAAAACATACGAGGCATCGTATGAGAGTGAAATAATAGAATAATGTTTGTACGTTTGTATGTAGGTAGGCGGGGCGAGCCGCATTCGCACTCCGCGCCGCGTACGGGATGCTGCGCTATATTTTTGTATTCAGAGTGAATAGGTAAGGGGGATAGTTGATAAGCCGTGTGTTTAGTGATGGGAGGAAGCGAGCGTAAGCGCGGCGCGGCGTGCGGCGCGGCCCGTCACGCGGGACACGCCGCCCAGTGACAGTCAGTGACTTAACATAGTTAATGAGATCTCAGTGTCCAACTTCTTCGAACAAATCCAGTGCCCGTTTCATGTGATCGATATAAATATAATTATATATTATGAAAAAAAAAATGTGGAATTTTTATCATATTTTTATATAGCTAGTTGGAATTCTCGACGCGACCCTTTCTTTCGGCACTATTTCTTATGCTTTTGTAAATATTATGATAGATTTTTTAACTTATTTATTGGTTGCCGATCGGGCAGGAACCGCGCGGCCGCCGCTGGTGAGCGCCGCGCGGATCAGAGCAGCCCTTCTAAATAGTCTTTCCTTTTTAGGAAATTTCGTTCTTGTAGGTTACAAATTTTATTGTAATATACTTTATAATAAATTAATTAATTATAAGTAGTAGGTAATGAATGGACCACGCGATGGAAGGCGAATGCTCTCAGAATTTATGATCGGCTAGTGTTAACGCAACTGTGAACGCGAGTTACCGACGCGGTGAGCAGGCGGATGTTTGAGCGAACATTTAAAACGATGCTCGTAATTTTTTTAATAATTTTAGTCGAATTGATGTTGTTGAAAAAAATTTTCAAAGTTTCTAATTATTAAATGTACTTAAATTTTCAATGTAAATTATAACGACACCTCGAGAAGATTTATTGTTAATCAAAATATTTTAATTGAGCCTAGTCTTAGCGTGTTAAATTTATTTAATGTTCGGTACGCGCCGACTCGGGGTGCGGCGCGCACGCCGGTGTAACGCACCGCTGCTGTAAATAAGTTGATGTAACGAAACGCACACGTGACGCGCGATCCGCGATACGAGCTGCGATGCGAGCTGCGATGAGAGCTGCGGGCCCGGACGCCTCATAGGACGTAACAGGATTTTATTCGCGAGCAATGAAGGTTAGTGATTCGGTATAGGCGGCACCGGGCGTCTCAATCAAGCTATTGTCGTCCTTAATATTACTCAATGTACGTATTACTGTTCGTTATAATAGTGTAATCATGGCGGACACGTCGTCTCCCGTTCCCGTATTATAATTCCCGCGGCTGGACAACCGGCGGCGCTTTAAAATAATCATGTTTTACTAAATTTAATTCTGAGAGAATAATTTGCGATACAGTGTTCTTGCTTTTAGTTTTATGCAGTTAAAGTCCGATATTTTTAGGTTTAATTTTAATTGTTTAATTTTACAAAATTAATGTATTTTCTGCCCCCTAGTTAAGTTATTTTTCTATGTATAGTTAGTTATAAGTGTAAATGAGTTAGCACATAAATTTGATGCATGATGATAATGTTAATAAAATATCCACAATAAAATACAATGTTTTGTTTTAATCTACCCTCCGTTCTTTACGATATGTTTTTACACGAATTAACTGGTTTACAGACAGATTTACTACAAACTCAATTAAACCTTAAGACAATGAAATACAATTGAGGAACTTAAATCAACAAAAACATATGCTTAGTCCTATAAATCTACAGTTGCGGAATTCTGAAGAAACATATTTTAATAGGAATACACAAATATTTGGCCTACCCACGGAACACAGAGAGGACTTTCTGTGTTCTGTGGTGGGCCACCATCAGTACATAGACTTGATCGCATAAGTAAGACTAATCTATGACTCTGTCCGGTGGATAGAGCTCTTATTACCAGACCCGTCTTTCCCAGTGGGCACTTTGGGCAAGTGCCCAGGGACCCGCTATCGATAGGGGACCCCCTCAGATCAAATACAAAGTCCCTAGTTCCTGTTAAATCACCAAACGGAAGTCATAGGGACCCCATTATCCTTATATGCCCAGGGCATCCAATAGGTCAAAGACGGCCCTGCTTATTACCTTCCTACACACTGCAAGATATCAAGTTTACACCTCGAACGATGATTTGATGAAACAAATTTCGCAAAATCCCTAGGAATTTTGTTGTTAGTTTCGCAATCTTACTGAAAACATATAGGAATTTTGCGAAAACGCGTGTCACCTCAGTCAGATTGTGAATAGTTGACTTAATCTAAATATGCTTTGGTTTTAGGATTCACACTAAGTTAGGTTAGTGTCGAGTTGTGTTGAGTTTGTGACCACGACCACAGATTATTTAATAGTTACCCATGCATGACCCACGAGCCGAGCCGGTCGGCGAAGTTGCGTGATAAATAATTGAAACATGTATCTTTATAATTTTCTTAAATCTAAGTGATTCTAAAAAAAAAAAGCTATTTCGCAATCTTCTTTGTAAAAGAGGATGTAGGTACCCGTATATCTTCTATAGGCACAATTTCTTTTAATTTGATTATACAGAACCAAGCAAAACCGGATATCCGCACTAGGCCCGCGTGGTGCCTCATGGTCCAATCTTCGTATTTAATGCATAATGAAGGTCTGTGTCCCAGCAGTGACAACGATATTAGCCTGATTATAATGATGAACAAACAGAATGAAGAATTTGTAGGTAGTCATATTTATTTCAAATATTCCCAAAAAATTTACGTGAACTAAAAGAGATTTAAATAAGAACGTTATAAAAATACTTAATCCAATTCGCGAGTATAACTTGGCCGGAGAAGTATTTCAGATGACGATGATTCCAGTTCCAGTTGATGACGCAGAAGTATTCATTTTAATTACATTATTTAGGCACCGAATAACAATAATATATTCTCTATAATAACCATATTTTTATTTTCCACCTAAGTAAGTGTCCGAAGGCCGGTCTTATTTGGCTTAACTGTCTACTGGCCCTCGAAAATCAAATATGACAAAGTTTGATAATTTTATTATTGTTTTAGTTTGAAGCATTAATCTGCTGGATTTAGAAATGTAAAGAATTTTAACTAGAAACAATTGAGTCAAAGTTAAATGTCAAAAAAAGAACAAAAACAACTAAAAAGTGGACGGTATGGGCATTGTTCTCTTCGCTTTCCCTGAAAAGAAAAAAAAAGACACTGACAGTTTGTGATATGACGTGTTGTTGTCATGTCAAGCGTTTTGACGTGTATGAACAGCTGTCAGTTTTTCCGAATAAGTTTTGAGAATTGCAAATAATGAGAAGGAAAAAATAATTTATTCCACAAATAATCACTATTAGGACTTGGAATTTTTAGTTTATTCATGTGAAATATAAAAAAAAATCAAAGATGGTTCTTATGACTATGATAGCAAGAGTGATCGACGGCCTCCCATTAGCCGCTACCATGCAAGAAGATGAACAGGTAAAATCTTAAAATGTTCCTTTAAATCACTTCTGTAGCCGTGCACCAGCATATTTGTAATAGTTTTTGCTATCACAAAGTATTAACTTCAACAAAAGCATGATATGCATAGACTGTAATCATATTTAGTTTCACCTTTCCCTTTCTATTTAATTTGCTGTGGTGGTTCGCAGAGCGGCTGCAATGTTCTGGAGTATCAGAATCAGGCAAAAATGCTGTTTAAGAAACTAGGCCCACAGTCACCACTACGCTGCTCCATCGAAACTGGGCCTTATCTTTTCCAGTGAGTCCAAAAGCTTGTTATTTTTATTTTATCCTATTTTGTCTCAAGTTAGATATTATTTATTTATTGCTAGACATATAGTCCTCATAATATATAATATTTTTTTAAAGTTATTATGTCACCTATTATTTTGTTGTGTAATTCATCACTATGTCATATTCATAATTACTTTTTCAGTTATTTAATTGAAAACGAGATCTGCTACTTAGTATTGTGTGAACGAAACTACAGCAAAAGGCTAGCATTTAGCTATCTAGAAGAAATTGCACAAGAATTTTATCAACAGTACGGAAAGAGGGTTAGTATAATTTATTATTTTATTTTAATATTCATAATATTTGCCAGAGTTGTTTCATTATGTTATTGGGGCATAGCTAGAAATATACTTATATATTTAATTTGGTATGTCTAAAATTTATATTCTGGAGTAGCAAATGATTTGATTGTCAAATGAAATATATGCACAAATAAACATTGCATTAATGTATAATATATTGTTTATCATTATATTTAAAGATTTATAAATCCGGTTACAATTTTTCTTATGTTAATAAAGTAACAATTATGAGATTTGTACAAAAAAGACAGCTAGAGTTTAAATAAAATTGTTAATAGGGTATTTGACAGTATTAAAAATAAAGTGCCAATTGTTAGCATCTGTGTTTAAAATGAATATTGGCAGGGGTTTTTACTATTTTTACAAAAAAATATTCATAATTTTACTAAAAACCCATGAAATAGATAATAGTTTTCTTTTCTATTGTCACATGACCCAAAAGGATAGGCTGAGCCTAAAATGACGTCACACGCAAGTTAACTTCCAGTTAAAGTCACATTACATTGTATCATTTGACATTTTAATAACAGTCGTGTGACGTCACACACTAGTAAGACGCCATATTGTCCAGAGAAATGTTTTCTCAGCAACTTGAAAATGGAGTTTTTGATTTGGTTATTTTTACTGAAATACACAACAGAATGATGACTATCCATTACTCCATAAACATGAGTCAATAACATGAGATCGTTTTCTAAAACTTGTCAAATACCCTAAGCTATGTTATCTAACTTGCTAATCAAATTCCTTGAACTCTGGCTACATTGGCACTTCATTGAATTCTTGAGATATAGAGGTACTTAAAGTTGAAGGTAAATGTAAACAAGAAATGTATAATGGTCAGTGCATTCACCCAGATAACGAAGGGTGTGGGCTCGAGTTCTGCCTGATGCCTGGTCCACGTGAAATTTTTTCTAGTATAATTTTCTTTAGATTTAAACATCTAGTAGTTAAATGCTTAAAAAACATATACAGTGGATCCCGGTAGTCTGACAAACATTTTGCAGGGCAGCGTTAAACTATCGAAGTAATAAGGGGAAAAAATTGAAATTCGGTAGTTAAATGTAAAAAATAAGAAGAAAGAATATTATTTTACAGAATAACAACATTTGTTCTTTTAAATTAATAATAAAAACCTATTAATGTTATTATTAATTTATTGTACTATATTTGTTATGCCAGCACTTCAATTGGCTATTCATGTTCGCTTTGTAAACTTCACATCAGTTACTCCTTTTCATTCATGATAAGGACAGAGCTTGCCAAGTTTTTGCATTTGTAATGGAAAGTGACTTTATGAGTTACCTCATATTGAAGTAATTTTTCAATTTGACGACTCCGTATATAATACAGGGAGAAAAAAACAGCCCTTGCTGAGTTTCTTGCCGGTTCTTCTCGGTACAAGGTCTCCCGCCGTAGATTTGCAAACCGATGGCGTAGCTTTTCGACATGCACAAGCGCTTGTAACAGCCTAGACTGAATAAACGATATTGAATTTCGAATTTTTTTAATTTTGAAAATGGCAAATACGAATACCTAAACGAAATGCGTCATTTGTGACCGGTCAGGTGAACACAGTGACCCGTCCTTACACGTTCATCGAGTTCGACACGTGGATGCAGCGCGCTCGGAGACAGTACGGCGCCGACGGGGCGCGGGCGAGGCGCGCCGCCACCGGGGGCGGGGCCGCCGCCGCGCTGGGCGGACAGCTGGGCGACGTGCAGCGCATCATGATGCAGAACATCGACGACGTGCTGCAGCGCGGCGCCGTGCTGGCCGGTGAGTAACACAGCTGACGGAGCGGGCCGGGGGTTAGGGCGGCCAGCTGGGCGACGTGCAACGCATCATGATGCAGAACATCGACGACGTGCTGCAGCGCGGCGCCGTGCTGGCCGGTGAGTAACACAGCTGACGGAGCGGGCCGGGGGTTAGGGCGGCCAGCTGGGCGACGTGCAACGCATCATGATGCAGAACATCGACGACGTGCTGCAGCGCGGCGCCGTGCTGGCCGGTGAGTAACACAGCTGACGTCATAGCCGCGTGCTGACGGAGCGGGCCGGGGGTTAGGGCGGCCAGCTGGGCGATGTGCAACGCATCATGATGCAGAACATCGACGACGTGCTGCAGCGCGGCGCCTCGATTTTTAATAATATTTATTTATTAAGACTGTGATAAAAAACATTAATCAGAATCTAGCTCTTCTATTCCGCTCATCTCTGCATTACCGCCAGAGTAGTTATGAATAATCATGCACTATTACTAGGTCACATACGAACATGGATCCTTTATGTAAACGAAAGTTTGAAATCGAGTTTCTGAACGCAACTTAAAGTGACATTTGGTTGACGATTTAGGTTATCAACCATTCATGGCCAAAGCTCAATAAGTGAAAAAAAAATATAAACCGATATTAATTATCAATATTTGTTATTGTTTGTTTACAAATGTTTGGTTTTTATTCTTGAACTAGTGGCCCGCCCTCGCTTCGCTTCGGTGTAGAGCTGTAGTGTCAACTATAGTTATTGTTCTCAGGCTTGTGCTATAAAGAATGACTTTATTTATATAATTACACGTGTTATTGTGAGTCAACCATAAAAGATAGACATGATGATAGATGTTGCGGGATATTTTTTAGATAATTTTATGTAGAATATTTCCGTCATACATGATTTCTATGTAACTTTAACCATTAAGGCTGCACCCGCGACGGAAGCTTAAAAAATGGAGTAACTACTCCCGTTTTCCCAACATTTCCCTTCACTACTCTGCTGCTATTGATTGTAGCGTGATGAAAAGTATACTATAACCTGCCCAGGAGTATGAAGAATAATTGTACCAAGTTTCGTTAAAATCCGTTGAGTAGTTTTTGTTTCTATAAGGAACATACACACAGACAGACAGACAGACAAAAATTTTACTGATTGCATTTTTGGCATCAGTATCGATCACTAATGACCCCCTGATAATAATTTTAAAAATATATTTCATGTACAGATTTATTATAAGTATAGATTAGCGGAGTTTAGCACTCCGCAAAAAGGGTTCCAAGTTTTTTTTTTTTTGCAAACCGTACTTTTCAAGCGACATTTGACAGATAGAGGTCATTGGCTTTCCTATTCTTATTTGAATCGCATTATATATGTGTGACGCTCGTGGCGCATTTCCGTTTCATCTTTTCCATTTACATCCCATCCGGAAAGAAGTGTCACTGCAATAAACATACATAGTTTTTACAATAACCTGACAGGGAATTGAACTCGAGACCCAACAGATGGTGATGATGCCAAGCTCTTTCCCTACTTTTGAAGTGAAACTTCTTTATCGGCGTTGGAAAAAAATTTACCGTCACATTTTTTTCGGTTACGCGTCACGTTTTTTGGTTACGCGCCATCTTTTTTTTAAAAGAGCACTATTTACCTCATCCGAACAATTGCTTCTTCTGTCAACTTTAAAAAAAAAAGTATCGACAGCAAATATTCGTGTTCAACACAAGGTAAGGTAAGGTGTAGTTATACCCCTTTAGTGGGTGAGTTTTTGAAAAATCTTAGCGCACGCCTATATATATATTTCTGGAAAGTTGCATGTAGATCATTTTTCGAAAAAAATAAGGCCATAAAGAAGTTTCACTTCTTACGTGTGTACACTAGTACACGCACACATTTTTTTTATTTTAACTGATTGTATTCAAATTATCGATCAAGAAGGCCTAATCAATAATTTTGTATTCCATCCAGAGTTGGACACAAAGACGCAGAACCTATCTATGATGTCGCAGAAGTACAAGAAGGACGCCACATACTTAAACACCAAATCTATGCTGGTAAAGGCCACTGCTGCAGCGGTCGTACTCCTAGTGTTCGTGCTCTACTTCTGGGTCCTGTAGACTGATTTGGTAACGGAACAAAACCACAGACAAACTTGCGCAGAAAACGTTTTTGTATTTATAAAATTGCTACTGCGCATGCTCCGTTGTCTATGGTTGATGCTCAAGAAGTTTGTCGGGGTGTACAGCTGCCCACAAACTCTTCGAAGTGCAAAGCCGGTGCTGCACTTGGTTATTCGTATTTGCTATTCGTGAACTTGACGAGTATGTACTTATTTAACATGCTTTGTAAGGACATGAAACATATTCGCTAACAGGTTTTGACAGGTGGAAATTATCACCGAGGTGTTTACTGATTCACTACTACGCTTTATTATAATGCCAATAAGACATTGGTGCGAATTCTGGCGTGATTTTCTAAACTTAAAACTAAATTTAACATCAGTCTCTCCTTTTCGTTCTGTATAGAGAATGATAAGGATATACTGCTGTCAAATTTAATGCTAGAATTGAAGCTAGAATCGACACCATTGTCCTGAAAAGCATTGATGGATATGCAAATTTCACTTCAGCAGTTACACACTGTTAATGTCAAAAAAATTAGCGAATAGGCCTACTGATATCAAGTTTACAAATAACAAACACGAATAGCCAAGTGCATGCCGGCATAAGACCTATCTTATGTTGGTTAGAGCTGTTAAAATTTATATCAAAACATTTAAATGTATGAAAGGACTTTTTAAAAGCATTCTTTGTACATATTAGCGCTAGTATTTTATATAATTTCCTTTAGTCTGTAGGTTTCCTTGACTTTAGTACACTCGGAGAATAAATACAGACATCAACGCTCGTAAATAGATGTTGTACAGTGCGACCAAGATGATGAAGGCACTTGGATGACATTGACAGGAGGGCTTAGGGTTGCCTGATAGCCGGAAAATCCGGGATTCTCACGGAATTTTGGGTCTTGTCCCGTGTCCAGTAATTAGACCTTAATGTCCCGGAATCCCCAAACACCAGATTTTTTCACAATATTACTATAACTACACCTTCCTGCGAAGGGCGACAGAAGCATGCCATATAAAGGCATTCGTTACTGACCTATATTTTGATGTGATGTTTTATTTCTGGGGGGGGGGGGGGGTCACGGAATTGATAAGCCGGCATCTGGCAACCCTAGCATTGCTAGGCTAGTTAGGGGGATAGGGGCAACCCTAGCATTGAATAAGTGCACAAATGTGGATAACAAAGTTCATAAAATCTCGTTATTAAGAGGCGGGTTATGTATTTTCCATACAGACGTTCTCGAAAGATTCCTCCCTTGATTTTTATCACTAATGAAATGATTGGCATACATGAATATGATTTTACTCATTATATGCTCCTGTCTTCCTTTTTCGGATAACTTGTGTTTTAAAGACACTACAAGCCCTAAAATGGCAAAATAAACAAATGTTTTTATCACCACTAAAGACATCTAGTGTGATTCAATAAGCTTTTACAAAACATAGAGGCCTAATATAAGTATTATTATTATTCTATGGGTAAAATTTCTTTAACAAATATCTAATTTCTATTCTAGGAAACGACCAAAACTCGAAGTTCACAATTTAAATACGCAGTTTTCAGCGTAAGCTACTGTTGTCCCTATCGCACAGTATTTGCCAATACGTGACAGCAATAGTTTTTTAAAATACCTATTTCTCAAATGTCTGTCAGCTCGCGTCCGCTTTATAGGGCAATGTTATAATTTACAATAACCTCGGAAACAATAATAGGAAATTTAGAATGCTTATTTACCTTTTCCTCTATAAATGAAAGGCATATTTATATCTTCCTAAAATTTGTTCAGATTTCGCCACAAGGTCTTGTTCGCACTGTACATACTGAAGGTGACTGGTGGGCTAATCAAATATTAATGTTCACTGGTATTATCTCAATAATATTGTCAAGTGTAAATAATGGTGTCGATTCTGGCGTGATTCTCTAAACTTAAACCTAAAATTGACAACAGTGTATCCTTGTCATTTTCTATAGACTGAAAAGGAGGGACTGATGTGAAATTTAGTTTTAAGTTTAGAGAATCACGCCAGAATCGACACCATTATTGATAGTATTAGTGATTCTCATCTGGCAACAAAAAATATGACAATGGTAATGAGTTTCGTTGAAGAATGTATGAGTTTTATGTTTCCCTAAATATATATTTTAATAGCTCTGCCGTTCGTTGCCCAAGTTGTGTTATTCTTTACATTCTTATTACAAAAATAGTTAAGCATAAATTTATTTAACTGCTTCTCTTTATAAAATGATTATATGAATAAAATGGCGTCGATTCTGGCGTGACTTAAATTTAACATCAGTCTCTCCTTTTCATTCTGTGTAGAGAATGACAAGGATGCACTGTTGTAAAATTCGAGTTTAGCTTTAGAGAATCATGCCAAAATCGACATCAATAGCAAATTTTCATAGATGTGAGATGAGATGAGATGAGATCTTTACAAAACTTTGGGTAATCGTAGTGGGGATAAGCATTCCATTAAAGAAATGTATAAAAATTATCATACAAAAGCACCACAGTAAATATTTAATATGGTCTTATATGTTTGAAGACCATTTGATATTATAACCTTTTCGAACTAATATTTAGGTTTTGATTTGACTAGCTAAAGACAACATTGTTTCCAATGCCAATATTATTTTCTATTAAAACCATACTATGTGTGGTTGGTGATGGAGTGTTGTAAATTTTATCACTTATTGTTATTATTATATTTAACTATTTATTTAAGATGGAATAAATACGTTTGCATTCTTTTCAATTGTATTATCCTTTAATTTACACTAATATCATGAAGTAAATTTATACAAGACAATAAAAACTATTCATAACAAGATGGAATGTCTTCCTCCGTCCACTCTGTTAGATTAAATTCTTCCTTATCATTCCCAGAGACTGCTATGTGGTTGTTGGCAATTTTACTTAAAGCTTTACTCATCCTCAAAGCTGTTGGGGCTTTCAATACCTGAAATGAAATATACTTTAACTGCTAGATGTTTAAATCTAAAGAAAAGTTTTCCTAGGAAAAAAAATCCACGCGGACCAGGCAGCGGACGGGACTCGAACCCGCACCCTTCGCAATCCGGGCGAATGCACTGACCAATTATTGACACGGCCCTATTGGCCGCGCCGAAATTTTCCTAGCCTTAAGCTGCAAGGCAGCGCCATCTCTTCGCATTGTAGGTAACCCACAACGTCAAATGAATACTTTTTCAAGTATTAAACATTTGAAAGAAGAAATAGCAATAATTATGTTTTTATTTATTTTTAAGCATTTAACTGCTTGATGTTTAAATCTAAAGAAAAGTTTTCCTAGAAAAAACACTGGAAATATACTTGTGTAATGAGTCACAGACTAAGACTTTATTTGCATAGAAAAAACGGGTTCTCTCCACTTGGCTAGATTAATGGTCAGAACCAGTCAACCATATCTGCTAATTAACTCATGGATTTAAGTTTCTTGTTGAAAACAAGAAAGCCAGTCTTTTTCTGATATAAGACCATTCTGAAATTACGTACAACACTTGTTAAAGGAAAGGGTTATGAATGTGTAACATGGTGGCAGGAAGTGGGAGTCGCCCTAAATTCTGTAATGTTACTTAAGTTTCAAAAATCAATCCGTAATACTTTAAAATTATTTCAACTTTCCTCATAAAGTTGTAAGTAGTTGTACTTCGAAATTCATTACTACCCCACAAGAGGCTAGTGGGTGGAAGCATCTTGCCTTGTCTTTATTCTCATTAGTTCGATCGTCGAACAAGTGAGATTTTTTTTCTCATTAGTTCGATAGTCAAACTACTGAGATTTTATTGTTCTCATTTGTTAGACCATCGTCGAACTTATTTTCTTTATTTATCCATTTTCATTACCAGAGCCTCTTAGTTATGTATGGTCTCCTGGTACTTTTTTCAAAATAGTGATTTTTATAAATGTTTATTAATATAATAATAAGCGCGAAAGGTTGTTTAAAGATTTTAATATTTTTTTGGACTTTAAGCTAAGGATATACAATTGAAAATTAGAAGGTTATAATTTTTATTTTTAAGCATGTAACTGCTTGATGTTGGAATATAAGAAAATATTACTAGAAAATAAAATTAGAAGGTTACTTTATTCAGAGAAAAAGAATTATCTCATCATTATGTGTAATTGTTCAGAACGCTTTTGAGGGTCAGGTCAGCATTCCAGATAGTATGTAAGTTCCTTGGGATAGACTGACTGAAGGTGTGAATCGCCATAAAGAAATAAAAAATAATAAAAGTCTTAATAACCTCTCCCTGATACAGTATATCCCTCAATCAATATTGCATCCATAAATATTTATAAAAGCACTATTTTGAAAAACGTACCCATAGACCATACGTAACTAAGAGGTTCTGGTAAAGATAATGGATAAATAAAGAAAATAAGTTCGACGAAGTCGTACAAATGAGAACAATAAAATCTCAGTAGTATGACAAACTAATGGGAAAAAAAAATCTCACTACTTTGGCAATCGAACTAATGAATCAAACAAATGAGAATAAAGGTTGCCTTCAATTGTGCTAGGTCTGTAACCTTAATCTAACCAATGAAAAAAATAAGCAGACACAAAAGTATTCACTCATTCTATAATGCAATTAAGTAAAATGTCTCACAAGTACTAGTAGGAAGTGAGTTATCCCTTTTTTAATTCACCTGCAATAAGTTGACATATATAACTGGTCTATTTTTCCACTGTAAGAAACCAAATACTTGGACTGGTAGTGGAATAACAGTTGATGGTAATGTAGTTTTCAAATATACAAATGATAACTGAATCTCAGGGCTAGTCTTCCGAGTTTCAATATCAAGCTGAAATGGAAAAATATATCAAGGCAGTACATCAGAGCTTGAGGAACAATGTTTATTAAATATGATGAAAATATAAGTATCATCATCGTCAGCCTATTAATGTCCCCACTTCTGGGCATAGGCCTTCCCTATGGATGGAATAGGGAGATTGGGCCATGACCCACTAGGCGGGCCCAGTGCAGATTGGCGGGTGCTAACAACTGCAGATGCAGCCAGAACCAACGGCTTAACGTGCCTTCCGAAGCATGGAGGAACTTAAGACAAAAGATTTTTAGTCACCCATCGAATGAGCGACCACTACGAAAGTTGCTTAAAATCAACAATCGTAGCCGAACGCGCTAACTAACCGCGCCATCGAGCTCCTCAATATAAGTATAACTTACTTCAACTAAATAAAATTTGCCATGTATGCTCTGCAGAATACCAATAGTTCGACATCTAGTTATAATATTTTGGGATCCTTCACATTGTTCTGCCAAACCTTTCAAGGTTGAAAATGTATAGAAATCAGTCTGCAAAATATACAGATTAAAATTACAGGACTCAAATATGTACAATATTTTAATCACTGTCACCATCTTATACTCTGAATGCTCCCTATCATAGGAAACTTACACATGATGATTCCATACTAAAGGGCTTATTTTTAAATAAAGATTTTTTATTATAAGACATAATATGCATCTGTTGTCCAAAAGTTCAGTCATCTACCATTGGTTTAATAATAATAGTTTAAATTCTTGGTTTAGATAAAAAATATTTTTGTTACATTTTTAAATCTTCCTGTTCTTGTTCTTTGTATGAAAACAAAAATCAAACATATTGTCTTGAATTCTCATTTAAGTTTTCTGTGGGAATTAAGCATATTATTAATAGGCCAGTTTAGTGTAGGATCTTTCTTTTTCTTATTTTGCAAATTCTTGGTTGTTTCATAAGACTTCCATTGAATGACACACTTGATACCTATATACTTGTAAACCCTCCACGTTTTTGTAAATAGCAAAGTGAAGATATTAAATTAATGTCTTTGAATGACAGGTAGGTACCCCTAAATAAACACGAAACCTTAAAATTAAAACTAAATAAAAGCACGGAACAATAATAGTACGGCACAGACCAAAAAAATGTTAATCACTACGACCAAGAGGGAGAAATGTTAGAGAAATTTGTTTGTTTTGGCATAGCTAGCATCCTTTCCTTTACGACATCATGATGGCGGACCACAGACTACTTACTTAAATATTGGCGGCATAGAGGTACACCTCTATGATTAGCGGACACGGACCAAGGAAGGAGTTCATTTTGATAAACTCCTTAATCTTTAGACGTAATCGTAATCTGTGCTCCTTTCCTTGACGCGAATAGGGGGGGGGGGGGGGTGACGGAAAGGGATGAAGAGGGCGAAGGAAATGTCAGATTCTTAAGTACCGTTCCTTATCTATGGCCACGAAATTGGTCTAATATTTATTATTTTACTAATAAGAATTGAAGATTCTATCTGTGGATTCCAAGCCGTGCGCCTCTACTTACACGTACCTTCATTTTTCTAATGAAAATCTAGTGACTGCAAATCAAGCAGATGGCAAATTAAGGGTACCTAACTCTACTCGTGTTTCAATTGAAAGTGATTCTATGAATGTTCGAAATGCCTGCAAATTTAGTGGATTTACGTCCCAATCATCGCCTTCTGAATCACGAATTTGAAGGATACAAGTTAAGTCTTCAAGCTCTACCCCACTTCAAGTATGATCTAGTTTCACCGGTCGATCGTATGTTTCCTGACGAAGTCCAGTTTTCTTTTATTCACGCTAAACTTTTTGCGCTACATAACCACTTAATCTTGGACTACTGGGATTACTCGTACAACTTCTACTTCATTGACAACAAACAACAAGTACGTCAAGTAACATTTGAAAATACAACAAACACATTTGATAACAATGTAGTTTATGATGTCCCAGCACATGTTGAAAGGAAATCGGGGCATTTTGATTTAGGTTTATCATTTCCTTCTCAAACTACAGCTATTGTAACTGATGGCACTGGATACCTTCACATTATTGATACAGGAGTAAGGAGTTGCAGGAGTAGATCCTGGCAAACACAACATTCCATGTTGGTGTTGGGTGAAGGCAAATTTTTCATAATTGTGGATTCTCGAATACAAGAGAAGGACGGTAAAGAACTGTTGCATTGTTTATTACAATCTGTAGAACAAAGTGAAAAACATTTTAATTCCGTTCTGACTTTGGTAACTTTTGAAAATGACAATAATTCCTGGAAACAGATCAGTATGAAACAAATGGAAGGTAAGGGAATTGTCCACTATGCAGCAATTGAAACCAGTTGTGAAGCAATTTACATAGCATCAGACAATATATTTAAATGCATAAATGACACTGATAGAGAAATAACTGAAATACCAAAAGAGGATCGAGCAAAAATCATCTACACCTGGTTGCAGACACCCGAAGACATCTCTGTCACTTTAAAGTTGGAAGCCGGTTGTGATAAAACTCTAATGCATGTCAGTGTTATGCCACTCCAAATTAAAGTTAGTTATGCAGGCAATACATACATAGACGGCAAACTTCTACATAAGGTTGATAGTGAACTAACAACATGGAACATTCAAGATAACGGTCAGGTAGACATATTGTTGACAAAATCAGAAAGCTCTCTTTGGGATGAGTTTTTAGAAGGTGGAGATAAAAATGGAGAACAGATAATGGATCCAAGTCTTGTAGAAGAAGCTCATTGGAGACTTGCGCATTTGTGTTCTGAAACAGAAGTGTCTCAAGACCAATCTGTGCCTGGATTTTCCACACAAGAACTGGAAGAATGTGATGCAGCCTCTGAAGAAGACACTGTATTAGGTAAATAAAGGTTCAATGTTTTCTTATCATGGTTTAAAATGTATATATTTTTATTAATTTAATTATGTTTGGTTTTTCAGTGAGAATGGATTTGACAACTCACCAAATAACACACAGAGCACCTCTAAGTGTGCATCAATACTTATTCAGTGTCAAATTGGACACTAATGATGTACCTGCTCTCGCTTTACGTCATGATGTGGACGCTTGTATCTGGCAACCATATTCTCTGCTGATAAATTCAGATACATGGCCTTTGAAACATCAAGGTACCCTAATGGCTTTTGGATATGTTCAATCTTCTAAACAGAATCGTAAATTTGTTACATGTCCACCAAATTTCTCCTATAGCGTAGTCTGCGAAGCAACTAGACACCTATTTATTTATCAAAGCACTCCAAACAAAGACTGCCAGCTAAGGAAGAGGACAGGTGGAGTTATGAATAATGTGAAAGTTGGTCAGCAACATATTTTCAATTTTGATAAATATGGAGAGATTATAGGCATTCATGCTACAAATGAATACTTGTTTTTGTTAACAGAATGTTCTTTTATTGTAATACAGATTCTATGAGCCAATCAGAAGATATTGTAATAATTAACCTTATTAAATGCTAAGACTGGTTTTCTTCATTATCACTTTCACTTAAACTCTCTTCTGAAGAGTAACCGGTAGTAAACAAAAGATTTTTAGGTCTTTTCTTTTTTTCTGCTTTAATTTCCTTCTCAATTTCAAGTTTTTTCTGTTCTGCAATTTTTTGAGTGAGTAACTGTCTTGGTCTCTTCCTCACATGTGTGGCAGCATGTGTCTCTACTAATGGAACATTATTCTGATTATTATTTGAGTTCTTAATATCTTTATTACCGTTCTCACGTTTTATATCACTGTCAATACTTGGTGATTCTTCATAATCAAATTCATCTTCTGTAATTAAAATACTTCATTTTTGTAACATAACATAATGAGTAATAAATAAGAACTGAACAATAAGAAAAAGATCTTACCTGGACTGATTATTTCAAAACTGTATGCATGATCTTTGAGTACAACAAAAATTATAGGAAACTCCACAATGCACTTCCCAGATAAATTCTCAGCTAAGGTGTCAGCTGGATCTAATTCAAAGAATTTTCGTGCAGAGCCTTTTACTTTTTCAGCTAAAAATAAATTAATCCTTTTCGTCTACAAAATTATCAAGTTTTTGACAAAAAAAAAGTTTAGGATAAGCATAATTTATACCTTTGAGTAATATTTTGATTCCACTAAAGCCAACAGATCTATAATATATTAAAGCTTTAGATCCATCAAAAGGTGCAGCATCAGGGTCCATGTATTTGTCTAATAACTCTGAAATTCTCTTAGCTTCTGGACATTTTTCATCCACAAATTTTAATGGAGCACTTTCCACATTTGGAAACACCCATTCAACTCTCCAGTTTATTACATTTGATTTATAATTCAATCGAGTTGTGTTAACACTATGCCTCGTAAAGTTTTGTGCAAGGAACTGAATAACAGTGCCTCTCTGCCTAGCCGCTACTTTCAGTTTATACAGATGCTGTAAATAAAGATATATTTGAACTATTTAACCATGAAAGAGAAATCGTAATTATAAAGATAAACACACATACAAGTGGCAATTCCTTATCAACTCTGGTAAACTTTTTCTTTTTGTCATTTTTTACACCATACACAAATCTGGCACATTCTTCTAACAACCTGTAGTCACTCAGCAGATCAGAATCTGTAAAGTCCTTGACTCTGATGAATTTTGTTCGATCTCTTATACCGTCACAATCAAGCTCTTTTTTGTGTATTCTAACACAAGACAGGCAACATGTTTTTACTTCGCACTTTGGACAAGTATAAATAGCACTGGACGAGCCGCAAACTTCGCAATCACCAAGTCTAAAACAAAATACCAAAGACATTAACTTTTCAAAAAACAAATAAAATGGAAGGAATTCAAAGCAATTCCTACTTACTTTGAAATTTTTTTATCACAATCAGATTCAGCATCCGACGCAGAAGACATTTCCTTCTTCTAATAAAATGTAGTCAAAATAAATCGAGGAAATAAGGCTGTGTAGACCTGTAAACAGTGCGATTCAATTTTTTTTTTTTTTTTTTTCGTTTGTCCTTTCGGACAGGCTAAGGTCTGGGACCATACTGCCTCGTCATTAGTTATTTTTCTTCTTTTTATTATTAAAATTCAATATAACTTCCTCAGTTTGATAATTTCCGGTATATTTTCTAGTTTTTTGTTTTACTCTATTATTATGTGCTTTTTTCCGAGCACATTGAACATCTTAAACACCAAACATTTAATTTTTTCTCTTACTAGACAGTCCAATCATGAATTAATTACATCCTATATGAATTTCATATTTATTTAATATCTTTTTTATAGTACACATTTACACAAAAAATAAATCATAGACCAATACCATGCAATACCTTAATCCTAATACAAAACTTAAGAAAAGAAAAAACAAACTTAAAACAACGACATTTGATACGTTTCAAACTTGTTTCAAACCGACGACCTAAACGAAAAAGAATACCTACAAGCAAAATTACGAAAATAAACATTTTTTTCAAACAAATAAAAGGAAAGAGAACATGCGGTACCTATTAAACTTAACTGAGCGTTTTGTGTATGCAGAACATTTAACCTTAAAATCTAATACACAACGATATTACAGAATATTTATATTTCTTCAACAGTGTTTGCAATGAAATTATACAGAGGAACGTATGTACAATTATTTACAAGAAGATCGGTCAAGGAACGCGGGACCAAATCATGTTTGCCATAAATTTGGATTAGCTCATCCAACAACACAAGGCGCTGAATGCCGAAGGATGGGCAGTCAAAGAAAATGTGAGCTAGGGTTTCTTCTTGGGAATTGCAATGAGTACATTGAGCATTATTCACCATTTGCAACCGAAAGAGATGGAAATTAAGCCGACAATGACCAAACCTTAAGCGAAAAATCGTCGTATAGAATTTTCTATTCAAAAAGCTATTTGATTTGCAGAACCATGGCAATTTGTTTACATCAACATAAAGAGGTGTGTACCATAGACCTTTACCTTTAACCTGTACTATACAATTCCAATGGGCTCGCCACTCTTGGTGCATTCTTTCCTTTAGCAGAACAATCAAATCTGTATAAGGTATAGACATCTTCTGAGTATTGGTTTCAGTAGCTAGAGTATTGATAGATTTTGCTAGATAATCTGCATTTTCATTACCTGTTACACCAATGTGAGACGGAACCCACATGAAACTTACAATTGGACGTAGTTACGCGAAAACGTTCCAACCCACAAGTCACTCGAAAATGAGTTACCATAACCAGGGTACTATTTTTGCCATATTACATCATGTGCACACAAAGATGCTAGTATTTTTAAGTTAGTTTCATCAATAAAGTTTAACCCAAATGTTCCAACCCACCATTATGCCAAGGACGTGTACTCAAAATAAAGTAAAAACATTACATGCATACTGAAACATATTGTTAAAAACTCTTAATAGAATAACATATCGTTATAATGTTCCACTTGTCTTGGAACATTATACTAAATTCATAAAACGCACATTTAATGGTTTCTTAAATGATCCATGTGGGTTGGAACGTTTTTGCAAAATCTTTATACATTTTTTATTTCTGCAAAAATGTTCCATGTAATTTGAAACCTTTTAGATTAATCCATACTGTTTTTTTAAGCTGCGAACACTGTTCTAAATAAATTGAAACCTATTATTATAATATATTATTTTAAAATTTTTAGCTATAAACAATCCACATATACTTGATCCATTTTTGCTATTAAATATGTTCTAGAGAAAAAGATATTTTTTACCAAAATAAATAACTATGGTATATTTGGACGTAGTAACGCGAAAATGTTCCAACCCACAGCAACCCCAATTTGCAATTTACACACTTTTTCCCTGTAATTATTTCAGGCAAATACTATTGGTTTAACTATGGAATGCCAAACTGATTATTGAATGATATGCATATTTTTTGTAAATACATAATACAAGGGGCATATAAATAGGTAAAACGAGTTTGAAATGTTTTTGCTAAATTAATTTTGTATGAACCTTGTTAAATAGCAATTATGCATAAACTTTCCAAAACGAATTTAAGTGTATTAAAAAGAAATATGTAAAATAATAAATAACAATGAGGAACATACAAAAACAACAAAAAAATATATTTGAAAATGTATTACAAAAAAATAGAACGTGATCTTTTGAGCTTAGAACCTATGCCAAAAATTTGTTGATATGGTTCCAAAAGTTATCAAAAACTTATATTATAAACATTCAATTTTCATCATCGTATTCTATGATCTCGAAGTCCGGAACTCCACCAAACCCATCAACATCATCAGTGCTTCTTCAGAACTTTGAAGCGTTCTATAAAATTGAAGGCAATCCTCGGGTATGTAGTGGTACATGGATTGTAAGTCCACTAATTTCGCTGGAGCAATCGGTTTGTCGTTAGGCCACAATAAGCAAAAATGAGATTCTTTTATGTATTGCAGTTCTCGTTTTATTCTTTTATCAATTTTCAACTCATTGAAATCGTCTTCCATCGTAGACCGCATAAAAATAGAAAACATTTTATCTTTATCCAACTTAATTTCTTTTGTATGTAGCCAACTAACTTTAGATGAGTCTGTAAACTTCTTCCTATTGATAATCTTCTTTTCCAGTTTAGTTGTACTAAAAAAATCAGTCTTTGTCATTTTGTAAACTTGAAGAGGTTTAACTTTTTTACTTAGTTCTACAATAGTGGTATCCATAGTGCATTTAATGATACTGGGCATTGTTATGTATTGGTAGAAGGAGAGGTAGAAGAGGTGCACAGGAAGTGGATTGCCTTCAATTTTATAGAACGCTTCAAAGTTCTGAAGAAGCACTGATGATGTTGATGGGTTTGGTGGAGTTCCGGACTTCGAGATCATAGAATACGATGATGAAAATTGAATGTTTATAATATAAGTTTTTGATAACTTTTGGAACCATATCAGCAAATTGGCATAGGTTCTAAGCTCAAAAGATCACGTTCTATTTTTTTTGTAATACATTTTCAATTTTTTTTTGTTGTTTTTGTATGTTCTTCATTGTTATTTATTATTTTACATATTTATTTTAGATATATTTATAAAATAATACACTTAAATTCGTTCTGGAACGTTTATGCATAATTGCTATTTAACAAGGTTCATACAAAATTAAATTTAGCGAAAACGTTTCAAACTCGTTTTACCTATTTATATGCCCCTTGTATTATGTATTTACAAAAAATATGCATATCATTCAATAACCAGTTTGGCATTCCACAGTAACACCAATAGTATTTGCCTGAAATAATTACAGGGAAAAAGTGTACCGCTAAAACACAAAATTGCGTTTATCTCAAAATGGGGTCGCTGTGGGTTGGAACGTTTTCGCGTAACTACGTCCAATTATATTATCAACATTGTATAGATCATACCAGACTTCTTTAATAGCATGAATAATGTAATTGGTGTTTGCACTTAATTTATTGTTTTCTAAGTTTTTGAGCACACTCATGCTATCACTAAGTATTAGCCATTTTTTATGTCCTTGATTTTGATGTTTTATGTGTTTCAGAGCAGCCAAAATTGCTAGAGCTTCTGCAGTGAATACAGAGGAATTTTTGTCTATCTTGTAACCTAAACCAGATTTTATAGAGCTAACGTAAAAAGAAAAAGATGCACTTGAATCATTTTTTGAGCCATCTGTATAAATATGTTTATGATCAACCCAATTTGATAGTTCACCAAACACCTCCTCTTTAGTAGAAAGCTCCTTGTAGATATTTATGTCAATTGATGGAAATTTGCTCTCAAAATGCCCTTCATAGCATGGTAAGATTGAAGGCTTATAAATGTTGGAATTTTCGAGAAACTGAGTGAACTGAGGAAATCCTTGCATGATATACAAAGGCCTACCTGCCAGTGATTGTGATAAATATGAAATATTTTTTAAAAGTTGATTATTGTTTATTGAGAATAGCTTCAAAAGGAATCTTTCCTTTAAGTAACTAAATCTTATTGAAATGGGAGAAAGATTACACTCAATTTGCATAACATTAATGGGAGTGCTTTTGAAAGCACCAGTTATCAAACGCATACTTTTATTTTGAATTTTGTCTAGGATATCTACAATTTTGTTGTCATGAGCAAAACAAAAAAAAGCATACTCAAAATGGCTGCGAATCAAAGACTTATACAGTAACAACAAGATCTTAGGATCAGCTCCCCAATATGTAGAAACTAAAGATTTTAATATGTTTAAAGCTTTGTTAGCCCTAGTTGTTATGTGTTCAATATATTTTTTCCAAGATAAGTTGTGAGTTATTAAAACACCCAAAAACTTTGTGTCTAATGAAACTGGAATAGCAACATTGTTATAGTAAACAGTAGGCATCAAAGATCTATTTTTCCCAAATACAAGCAGTTTTGATTTTAATGGGTTAATATCAAGATTTAAGTATGTAAAATATTGATTAAGATTAAATAAGGCACTATTAATTTTATTTACTAAATTTGTAATTTTATGATCGGAAGCATATACTACCAAGTCATCAGCAAACTGTAAATTTTTGACATGTCCACCCAGAATTAAGTTGAGACGTCGGATATATAATATAAAAACAAGAGGAGATAAAATTCCTCCCTGACAGACACCAACAGAAGCCAACCGTGGGCCATATAGGTAACCATTATTCTTAACAAAAACTTTTCTTTCAGACAAGAACTTTTGGACCCAATGAACAAGTTTTGGTGGTATACCCACTGAAGTTAACTCATTAGAAAGCACATCAACATTGACACTGTTAAAAGCTCCCGCAACATCAAAGAATACAGACACCATAGTTTGATTTTTTACTAGACAATTTTGGATGTCAAGTTGTAATTGGCAGATACTTTCACGAGATGAGCGACCTCTTCTAAATCCAAACTGATTCGAAGGTAAAATGCCATTTTTTTCCACATAGAACTCCAATCTTTGCTTTAGTAGTTGTTCAAAAATTTTTCCTACACATGAAGTTAGTGCAATAGGGCGATAAGAATCTTTATCCAATTTAGGCTTATTAGGCTTTAAAATAGGAACCAAGCAATCTATTTTCCAACAAGGTGGTATGTCATTGTTTTCCCAAAGATGATTTAAAACCTTCAAAAATATCTGCAAACTAGAATCACTAAGAGTTTTCAACATTTTATAAGGGATACCATCCAATCCAAATGCACTTTCTCTTCTGGAGGAGACTGCGTTTTTCAATTCTGTTATTGTAAATGGTTTTATTAAAAAGAGGTTGGTGGAATTTGATTGAGATCTATTGTAGGAACAGTCCTGATGAGTAGGTACATAATCAGGAGTATATTTCTTAAGAAAAGGTAAAACCCAGCTGTCACAGTCTGGATGACTTAAAATAAAAGATTTATTGAATTTACGCATATATTTCCAGATTACAGTAAGAGGGGTACAACGATTGAATGAACTACACAAATCAGCCCAGCTTTTTGATCTTTCAGTTTTAAGGGTGAGTTTTTTTAAAGCTTGCAACCTTTTAAATTCCAAATAGGTTGTTTCTGATGGATTATTTTTAAATGTAATATATGCTTGTTTAGAATTACTCACAGCAACTGAACAATTATTATTCCACCAAGGTAATGAGAGTCTTTTGCCAGTTTTTCTGTTGGTAGAGTTGGATTTTAATTTGGTAGGGGTTAAAGACTCTGTGGCTGAATAAAGAATTTCACAAAATAGTGTATAAGCCTCCAATGGGGTGTATGATTGAACACAAAACTCAGATAAAAGACTTTCAACTTTACATTGATACATTTTCCAATCAACCAGTTTAAAATTTTTGAATATTGGAAAAGTGACCTTATCATCCATGACATTATTGTTATTACAATCTTGTTGGTTGTTGACATTGAGACTAATATTTGTTTTTACAGGTAGATGATAACTGCCGAGAGGATCATCATGAACAGACCATTCACAAGATAAAGCCAAAGAAGGACTAACTATGGTCAAATCTAGAGCATTGGGCCGCCAAGTTAAAGAGCCAACTGTGGTTGGTTGCCCATCATTAAGAAGAATCAAGTTATTTTCATCAATGATATCCAGAATATCTCGACCACGAGGATTTGTGGAATTACAGCCCCAAGAAGAGTGATGACCATTAAAATCACCTGCAAAAATCATCGGACCAGGGATAGATTTTATAAGAGAATCTAATTTGCTTTTACTAAAGGCAGGATTAGTATTTGGAGGACTGTAAAAGCTAACAATTGATATATCTTTATTTCTTATTGTAATACGAATACAAATATTTTGCAAAGTATTATCAAAATTTGTATTGATTTTAGTATAAACAATGTTATTGCGAATTAATATTGCAACTCCATTATGTATATTATCAGAATCATTTCTTTCTATGTTGTAACCTTTTATTTTGAATTGTTGATTCGGTCTTAGCCAAGTTTCTGATATTAATGCTAAATGAATGTTGTGTTCATAAAGAAAATTTGTAAATATGAGCCTACTGCTTACTAAACTCTGAGCATTCCATTGTACAATATTTAAGTTAGCCATTTTTATTTTTGGAAGGTATTTTTCTGAATGTATTATGTAAATTTTCTTTTATAGTATTACTATTTATAGGTACATTCTTATTAGATACTATATTCATTATTGTTTCTACTAATAAATTCATAAATAAGTCTGATTTTGATAAATTATTTAAATGTGTTTCTATCGATTTTTCGGCAAGTTTGGGAAATGATTTTTCATTAAACAGTTCTGAATACTGCACAGCTCTACTTTTAATTTTGTTGTCTTCGATCTGTTGCTTTTTAATTGGACAAGAGGATGAGATGGCTACGTGATTACCTCCACAGTTAGTGCACTTTGCATTTTCTATATCAACAGTACAAGATTTATAATTATGATTTGTCGAACAAATTGAACAGACTTCATTATTGCGACAAAACTTAGCAATGTGACCGAAACGCATGCAACGTAGGCACTGCTTAACAGGTGGAACGTATGGACTGACCTCGTGTCTCCAATGGTCTAGATATACGTATTCTGGCAACTGAGTAGAGGCAAACGTTACTGCGACTGTTTGCGTGGGCTGGTACGAGACTGCACCAGCATCCCCCCGCACACGCCGCATGAACCGCCGGACTTGTATAATGTTTTTGGAGCTACCTATCAAAGAGAAAATGTTTTTATTTGACAATTCGGTAGGGACAGATTTTAGCACACCGGTTACTTCAGTGTCCTTTGCTGGAATGGTGGCCACTACGTCCAACTCTTCCAAAAGTTTAGCATTTTGTAAAAAAACATTGGCATTGTTCGAAAGATCGAACGTTATGCCGACTTTATACCGATTAACCGGCCTTAAATGTAAAACACCGGACACGCAATGTGTTCGGATGGCTTTTGAAATTTTTATTCTGTCTTTGTCCGTAAATGGCGTATCGTAAGTTTTGTGAGACAAAAACACAACAAACTCTGTTTTATCTGCATTTTCAGGATATTTCCTTTGATACCCAGTTACTTTAAAGATCTTGAATTTCTGAGAGGTCTCAGACTCATCGTCCGAAGAACGACGACTATCATCGCCACCCCCAAAGTCTTTTTTCCGCTTTTTCGTACTAGCCATTTAACTTCTATATACCTATATTTGAATTGAAACACTATTTACATAAAACTATACAAGAATACACAAAAAAAAGAGAAAATTAAAATTAATGCAAAAAAAATCTTCAAAGCGCGCCTTTCCTCTTCGAAGGTTCCCGCCGAAAAAAAAAACCAGTGCGATTCAACTAAGATTAGGACCGACTGGGCGCCATATTGTGACGTCTAGCTGTCAATTCAACCCGGTCAGGTAGAGTGAGCAAAAAACTTATTTACAGTGAAATACTCAAGGAAGAACGTATATTCGGTTATTTACTTTATATCACCTTAATCTGTTTATACCGAGCAGTCTTTCTCGTGTCTCTCTCACTACTGGACGGAGATTGGCGAAATTTCTGTGTAAAACGGAGATAGCCACAGAAGAAAAAAAAACTTATTTACCAAGATTTAAGTAAGAAAAAAATATCAGATTTTTAAGTAAGTTTTTTACTAATATTGAAAGAAATAAAAACATCATTTTTAATAATATTTATCTATTAAAGCAGAATGAGAAAACACATTAATTGGAATCTAGCTCTTTAATATCGGTCATCTCTGCAATACCGTCGGAGAAGTCATCATCATCATCATCACTGCTGCTTTCGGCTATAAAGTTACATATCGATTATTGTAGGTTTTAAAACGACAACTTTATTTAAAATAAAAACGGTCTTTTTATTACCTGTCTTTATAATAAAACTAAAGTTCTTATATTTCCCTTTTCCAGTACTCATTTTCTTTATGTTCACATGATTTATTTCCTTCCTTTTGTTAACAAATGTCTGGTGTTCTAAGATTTTTTTTCAAACCGTACTTCTCAAGCGACATTTGACAGATTGGAGGTCATTGGCTTTCCTATTCAAGAAAGCCATCCATGTGCACGGATTTTATGCCGGCACGTCACTTTTTTTAAGAATCTGCCTTTTCATGGAAGGCAAAGGGAACAATGCCCATACAAGCTAATCTTAAGTTTTATTAACCTTTTTTTTTTTACATTAGAATGTCAGTGTGACGCATTCTATCGTTTCTTGGAGTGTTCGACACGAAATTTATCGAGTTGGATTTTTGATAAACTTCTGTGAGGTAGTTAACACTACAATAAAGTTCTCACGTCCACTTGTCCGAAATAGCGTCCATTTGAAAGATTTCACTAATCCTTCAGTTGTGCAGACGGTTGTAACGAAAATCACACCAATTAATTTGACAGTGATGCCAATTCTGGCGTGATTCTCTAAACTTAAAACTAAATTTAACATCAGTCTCTCCTTTTCATTCTGTATAGAGAATGACAAGGATATACTGCTGTCAAGTTTAGGTTTAGAGAATCATGCTAGAATCGACAGCAATATCGACTATGAACGAATTTAAGAATAATTGAAATAAGACGCTAACCGTACTCGATAACATCCCGCCAAGAACTCCCCTTTTTTCTACTAATGTGGCAAGCACGGTTTGTGCGTTCAGCCAATGTCAAGTGAAAAATTAAGGAAACGGTAAAGGAACCGTAAATATTACAAAATGCATCGGCTATAAAGTCAGAACATACGCATCGGATGCGATTTATTTAAAATCGATGCGCATTAATTTATAGAAATATCTAAAAATGCCCATATCTAGAGAGCAGGTTGTCCTTGTCACACACTATAAAGAATGAAAAAGAGAGACCGTTGTCAAGTTTACAAATACCAACCATGTTTAATCAAATGACGTGCCGGCATTACAGAGATTATATGCCATGTAATGGAATCACAGATTACAGAAAGATATTGTCTAATGGCGGCATTTCACTTGACTAATAGTATTTGAAACTCTTCTGTCCTTTTCATTCCTTCTACAGCACGACAAAGATCTATAAGAATGTGATAATGCGCTAGCATCACTATATAGTTTGTGGTGATATATGATTCAAGGAGGGCGCTACTGTCTACGTAAATGTTAAACAAAATATGAAGTTTCAAGTTTACAAAGAAGGTGGCGTTAGCTTCAAAAAATTGCACTCGGACTCGGAGCGAAGGTATGGAATCATAGAGTAACTTTGTATATTATGGAATGCATGGCCATAGGCGTAGGATCATGAATTCATGCGCACGGCGCACCCCTCTAAGATAAAACCATAGATAAAATAAACACAATACGTCAAACCAAAAAATGAATTCATAATTTTCAATTTTAAAAATTGAATGGCTTCATGAACGAAATATTACCATACATGTTGAAATGGGATCTTCGGACTTACGTGGGGACGACTGGGATTTTCCATGCTCAGATGATGAACTTGCGAAATCAGGAACATTTATTGGTAAAAGTTGGATGCCTAACCCAACGGAGTTAGAAGAACTTTACAAAATTATTGAAAAGAATGGAACTTTAAATCTGGAATGGAAATGCCCTGGTAGACGAGGACCGTCGCCAGTGCTAGTAAACAAAGAAAAGCAACCAGAAATGCCAGTTTCACCAATTAGAGAGGAAAAGTCGGATTTTGATTTCATGGACGAGGTAAGCTCTCTTCGGCTCCGCGTTCGTCGCGAAGGGGAAGACACGTTAAGGGGATCTGCTAAAAAGAAAACGACCTCTTTTGATGGAATTTTATCAAATATGATCAGGCACAAGAGAATAGAACAAATGGAAAAACAAGCAAACACATCAACCCCATCTTCCACATCGTGATTGGTAATAAATTGATTTAATTTATATGTTGTTAAAATGAATAGGACATTAAGACAAATTAAATTAAAAAAACTATCTAAATATTTATTATTTTGTTTAATTACTAAATTGGTGAATACATCTATTGCATGTCTGATAAGGATAAATTGAAATTATAAGTAAAACTAGTTTTTACGGGTTAATGCACGAAACTTTATTTATTTATTGACGTTTCGCAGCCTTTTCAGGTCTGCATCGTCAGAATAAATACAGACCTGAAAAGGCTGCGAAACGTCAATAAATAAATAAAGTTTCGTGCATTAACCCGTAAAAACTAGTTTTATTTAATGAGTGATGTGCGTGAAAACCTAAGAAACAAATGTTTAGATTTTTGTAGTTTAGTATTATTTCATCTTCATATTCATTACAGGGCTAGTGATGCTGATTTTGGTTTTAATAATAAACTGTTTTCTTCCATGATACTCCTACATTTGTCCATATTTTGTATAATATATTGTAACTGCCAATGTTTCCGTAGTAGCGCCAACTTTAGATCAAACTTGCCTTGTCGAATGCATTGAACTCCAGTACAATATGCTGATGTTTTCAATTGCACTCCTAGATCATGAATAAGGGTCCACAAATACTTGTCATATTCATTAGTAGCTTGTATTTCTGTGAAAAACATTAAAAGAATGAAATACCTATATTTATTACTTACATTTTCACACAGACCAGTCATTTAAATAAACATGTTTAAATTATTTTATGGTGCATTTTTATGTTTTATACATAATTCTTGAGTCTATCTTAACACTTCAAGAATTATATTTAAATAATAAAAAAGTGCTAAACTTGTTTAAAAAGTTATTGATTATATAAATTTAAGTTAGATTGAATTTAACTGCTAAATGTTTAAAGCTCAATAATTTTTACTGGAAAAATTCTACTCAGTCCGAGTTGCGTTTTATTATCAAATATATTAATATAAAATTAATTGAAATTAGCATTTAAAATTACAGTTGGAAATGATATGCAGATTACCTAATGTAAAGTTTGGTGAGTTAAAATGAACACATTTAATGCCATATATAACAGGTAGCTTATTGCTGGCCGGTCGAATCAAACCTTGGGAAGCCAAATCAAACATAGTTTGTGATTCCATATGAAGCCCAGACATTCTGAAATCATAAATAAATGAAGTCTTTTTTTTTACCATATTTGATCTACGTAACAAAATTTGTTAATCTTATACACTAATAATTATGGGCCCTTGAAAGGGTGAAGGCCTCCTCCATTTCCTTCCATGTGTCCCTGTTGCTGACTTTCTAGATCAATTACGATATCATGCATACTGGAGAACAAGAAAACTTAAAAACTTCTCACTCAAAAAATACTAAATAAGGATGTTGAACACCAAAAAAATAAATCACTCCCCAATCCAGCTGGTGCCTGTGGAGTAATCGACTATCACCCTTTATTTCTTAAAATCATATAAAATTTAGTTAACCCTAATCTATCTTTACAGAAAAGAAATTTTCACATTCGAACACTTACTCAAACATAGTTTTCTGGTGTGCAGCTTGCATATGTGCAATGACTTTATCAATTTTTTCTCTTGTAACATGGCCAAACGAGGATTTCTCTACAGTTTTGCCATTCCAAAAATAAGTGTCAGTAGCTTTCCCTAACTGCCCATGAACTTTATAAGCCCTGGTTAATCTCGCTGTGTTGATTAAGTAAGTAAGTTTAGTGCCATCATTTATCCCTAATACTGAAATGAAACCATGTTATACCAAATGACTTATTATAACTTTAATAATGAAAAAGACACTTATAAAGACTTAGGACTTTACTACACATCTTTCAGATTCCTTTTATGTCAAAAAAGATTATAGGCTGGTTTTTTTCTGACAAAAAAGGAATCTTCTGTGTACAGAAAAACTTAGATATTTTTTTTACATCTATAAAAAACAATTAAGCTTAAATCTTAACATTCAAAAATCTAACAGTTAAATGCTTAAAATAAATAAAATAAACAATAAGCTTTATCTAACATTATGTATTTCATTTTAAGCATTTATTGCTCAATTTATAAATCTTAACACATTTGAAGAAGATATGCTTATGGTTTGTTGTAACTTTAATGTTCTCATTGTAGTTTTTAACCATTATATTGAAAAAGTACCAGGAGAATATACACTACTAAGATGTTCTGATAGTGATGCAACAATACAGCTATTAGAATATGAATGCATTATGGTATAGCATTTTATTGAATTTATTTTTAGCTTTGTATCATTTTATCTGTTAATACATCAATATTTTTATTAATTTTATCTCTTTTATTGTTTTAATTTTCTGCATTGAAGCTATCAATGTCAAACAAAGGAGCCCATTCCTTTAAGAACCACTGCAAAATGTAAAAGAATGAATGGTATATATCGAATTGTAATGTTTACAATAACAAATGACGGTAAACACTTATGATAATCACTGATCGCTTATATCTTATTGATACCATTGCATTCCTACTTCTGAGTGTAAAAATTCTTTTCTTAGATCGATCCATCGACTCTTGCCAACCGCAGTCCACTTTTGTCAGAAAAACAGCCTATGATTTATTCCGACTAAAAAGGAATCTGACAAATGTGTTCTAAATTCTCATAAATAGCCCTGTGAAGTTGAACTTACATAAAACACCACTAGAAAATAACCCTAAATGTGTTGCCCAACTGCATCGAAAGTCCTCCTTAATGTACCGTGGCCCGCACACCAAAGGGTCATCAGCATAGTTTGTGACCAGCTTTACCGTCATTGCATCGTTTGTAGGCCCTTGGATCTCTACTCTTTTTTCTAGTGGTCGGTCAGGTAAAGCATTTAGATCTGAAAATTATTATAATAATCTTGTCAAAACTGCGAAAAGGGTACCTACGGTGAATTTTTTTGTAAGAAATGTGATTTTCTTACCCCGGCACAAATTGGTTATGACGGTATTTTGTAGTTGCTGCAGTGACACACAGGCTGGCTTATATACGCACAATAATCCATTCAGCGTTTTATATGCAATAGCAGCGTTTCGTATATTTTTTATTGCAGACATAATTTTAATTATTAAACATGTTTTACGAAAACAAAAATAATGCTGTGCCGTGCCGGCACTTCATCAGTCTTCTTTTGATTCTGTATAGAGAATGACAAGTAGGGATGTTCGATATCGATTAATCGTTTGTAAAATTTTGCGCATTAATCGGTTAATCTATAAATTAAAATAATCGATGTTATCGATTAATCGATTCGCAATGATCTTCATTATGGTCTTGTCAGTTCATACATTAACAATGCCAAAACATGAAACACGTCTCAAAAATCATCATAACAAGCTTCGACAGCCGACAGCTTTGTCCTTATAATACCCACTGTTACTTTAGTCTTTATAACCATCTCTGTCTATATGTAATAAAATATAACGTTTATGCAGTTGAACCTACGTATGTATCTTCTAGATGTCAAACTGGAACAAAATGTTCATGGCGGCAAAAGACCATAGTCATTAGTCATTTAATTTATAAAAACAATATTACATTGTATCGGAAATTATGTTAAGTACCAACATAGAAATAAATCCCAAAAACAAAACCATTACATAGCCTGGGATACTAATAAAAACCAATATCCAAATATTTATAGAGTGACAATCAGACATTCATCAATCATTTCCACGTCTGTGCCTTTTGGAAGACTATTTTCAGAAGCTTGGAAATCGCCACCGACATGAGAAACAGATTGACTGGTTCTCATCTTTCGATGTTAATTTTTCTATCATCCTTATATGAATCTCAATGCAAATATTAGTGATTAAATAAACATTCTTATTTTAAAATTGTAATTCTTTAATTTTTTGTTAATGTTTATGTATTTTTTTTTGTATTTCGGCGGAACATTTATTTCCTTACAAAGTCTGGAATTTTTCTTCGATATCACAAATGCAATTAATCGATCAATTGTAATCGACACTGTAGAAATAATCGAATAATCGATTACTTTGATATCGATTATCATCCCCAATGACAAGGATACATTGTTATCAAATTTAAGTTTATTCTAGGTTTAGAGAATCATGTCAGAATCGACACCAATGCTTGTCCAACTTTGCAAAAATTTGCTTGAAATGCGTTAAATTAACAAACATTGACAAGATACCTGTTGGAAAAACGTCAATTTTCGTACTCTAAGTATTATTTTCGCGGAGCTCTGTGGCATCTTGACTTTGTAAGGGTCCGCGCGTGACTGTGAACCAAGAAGTGCTTAAGTCGACTTCAAGCTCTTCTTGATTGGAACACATTTTGAGCGCTCGTGGTGTATCTAGGGTATTTAATATCGTTGGTCTCTAACCATAGTAAATGTATGAAACCGATGTGCTTCCGGCGTGCCACGACACGACACAACACGACACGTTAATATGTTTCAGGCTTAAGGATTTGTTTACACTCATGACAAGAATCTATGCCACCAGAATAGACATAGTATCAAAGGGTACGGCCACAGTGCCCACAGGTTCAGAATCAGATTCAGACTCAGAAAACAAGCGCGAGAAATATACAGTGTGGTTTAAGCAGGTTGCCTGCTGCCACTATGGCCACCCTGCTTTAACTACACTGTTTATTTCTTGAATTGAATCAGATTCAGAATCTACGTGCACTGTGGCCATACCCAAATAGACTGAGCATTTCATAAAAAAAGCGTGGCCATTTTGCCGTCTACGAGCATGTGTTAGTGTGTATCTATAGAGAAGGGACAAAAAATCATATTATGGTTTGAGTTGTCAATATGAACCTACCTATTTTCAATAACTATTTCCACAATGCATTTTAATTTTATTGAAAATGTGTACCCACATTCCTTGATTATCAAATAGGAATTCGAACATGAGGATCTTGATGGCTCAAGTGGTAAGCGGTTTCGGTCTGAGATGGTGAAAGTTTAACCTCCAAGATTGAAGACCGAAGCCGCTATTTGATTATGGCTACCCTTTGGGATAAGTGACTAAAAATTCTAATCTTTTCTAATTCTATTCTATTCGAATCTATTGCTCCTCCGTAATTCGAAAGGCACGCTTCACTATGATTTCGTATCAATTTATGAAAATACCACACATCACCGTCACGATTTACACCGATACTCAACATTTTCAAACTTACGTGAATTACGGCAACTGCTCTTTCACGCATATGTAAAACCTACAGGTTAGGCTTGTTGAAAATATATCGATATTTTTTGTTCGATATATCAATATTTTTAGCCGATATATTTTGATTCGATATATCGATACATCGATACAAAATAACCAATATCGAAATTCGTATTAAAAACGATGTTTTTTTTAATTATTAGCGGCATATCACGATGTAACTAAATTCGTATCTGGGAAAATCGTAACTGGATCTCAGATTAATGATATTCAACATATCTATGATCTGTGCTGTATTTAGTATTGTCTATGATTTGTAAATCAGTTTCGCTGGTGAATTGGTTGTGCTGAATTCCATTATATTCCATGGAAGTGTCTGACTGTGATCGAAAGATGGCATCTGAGAGGCCCTGCAATCATTTTCATCATTCGAAAATAGGGTCTATTTTAAGGGAGATCATTTTCGTTCCATTATTATTCCGCGTGTCATCTTTTGTGAGATACTGTACTGTCATGCGGTGTAGCGGCAATTTGGTAATTTGATAATTCTTTCTTTAATTATAATTTGTATTGTTATTATTACTGTACTAGGCTTACCTAAATATATTTTTGGGAAAATTGGTCCAATATATCGACATATCGATGTTTTTTTCGAGATATATCGAAGCCGATATTGATATTTTTTTTAAAATATTGATGTATCGATATATCGATATTTTTTTCAACTTTCGACATCCCTACTACAGGTTAGACAAAGATGCATGGAAAACAGTTCCATCCGTCATTCAGGCTGTCAAACTTCTGGCTCCTTCCATTTGATACTTGTCTATGGCCACCAGCCACCAACCAGATGTCAGATGTGTCAGATTGAGGGTAGGGACACGATATCGAATAGAAAGTATCGATACTGTACTCATGAGTAGTATCGGTAAAAAAGTATCGTACTCGTAAAAGTATCGAAACAAAAGTATCGATACTTCAAAGTATCGAGTACATTTCATAGGGCCTTATCGAAGCCTCTGTGGCCTGATGAGCAACCCCCCCCCCCCTCGGTGTTAAAATAGAAAGAAAAACAATCGAATTTTATTATAGTACATATAATCAAAAACAAAAAAGGACATGTAAATTCAAAAATTGCTATATTATGTAATGAAAAAATAGCTGTGATTTCTGACACTAAAAAAGTGTTCATTAATATTACATTCATAATTAGGTACAATGTTAATTAAAAAGATCGAAATCTTAAACAATTTAAAAGTATGAAACTTTTCAGATTTGTTTCAAATTAAACTTACTTTTCTTGAATTTTAATCATTAAAAAAAATTATACCCACTTACGCTAACTTGAATCTGACACGTAGTTAACGGCTGCCATTCGCATGCTTTACTCAAGATTATAGTTATAGAAGAGGTTACGTCCGTCTTTTTTTCAGGTGGTTTCAAATAGGTATACACAGCACAGACAGAATAATAGTGTTACACTTGAATAAATTAAATACAGTCAAGCGAAAAGCACAATAAACGGCGAATCAATCACAGTTCCTAACAATATGGTCGCTAAATAAATAACTATGAAACAAAACAAAGACAGTCACAGATTGGAAAGAATTTGAATATGTCAGTTACTGACTTTATAACAACGCAATAGGGCATTTAACAGTATTAAAAATAAAGTGCCAAAATAACGAAAAAGATATTCGTTTTCTTATCTATTGTCACGTAACCCAAAACGCTTGGGATTGGCGGAGGCTTAAATGACGTCACACGCAAGTAAACTTCCGGTCAAAGTGACATTACATTGTATCGTTTGACGTTTTAATAACAGTCGTGTGACGTCACACACTAGTAAGAAGCCATATTACCCAGAGAAACGTTTTCGCGGCAATTTAAAAATTGAGTTTTTGATTTGGTTATTTTTACTGAAATACACGATAGAATGATGAATATCCACTTTTTACGGACTCCATAAACATTAGTCAATAACGTGAGATCGTTGCCTAAAACTTGTCAAATACCCTATGGAACGTTTTAGAAGGTTTGCTATGATTTAACAAGATGGCGTTGCCATCAATATGAGGCGCTTATCCAAAATTTTAAAGGTATCGATACTTGCCAAAAAGTACTCATTTAGTAAAAGTATCGAATACAAAGTATCGAGTACAAAAGTATCGGTATCGAAAGGAAAAGTACTCGATACCACAAAGTATCGATACTTTTTTCGTGTCCCTAATTGAGGGTTGAACTGTCATTCGGAGTTTAGCTCTAGCGACAGAAAGCGATTGAATCGACTCGAGTAGCAAGTAATGGCTGAATAGGCATTGTACGTCGCTTCGGTTGCTTTGATTTTGCCCTGATAGCTTCCTATATCAGAAATGTGTACTTACTAATAAAAAAAATTGTTTGGATATCTTTTAATTTGTGCTGTAAACTTACGTGAATTTGTGAAACCAACCTTGTGTTTTTGTGGCAGTGGACTAGAAATTGTGTAGGTGTGTACGTAGTTTGTTGAGAACTTAAAGAGATTGTTATCGGTAAGTTTAATACTTAAATAGATTTCCAATTAGATATTTATGTTATTCTCGATTCTCCACAGCGAATCTCAGTACTTTAAATATCAATCAGAGTAGCAAACAACTAACATCTTCAGTCTCATTGAAAACATTTCAGCAGTAGGTGTAATTTTTTACAAAATTTGGCTGTGCAGTTGTTTAGGTACCTACTTGAATAGTTATGTCAAATAATTTCAATAAAAGTGTTAGTTAAACTGGCCATAAATCATGTATACATATTTGATAATTTCTTTGAATTAATTCATTGAACAAAATTGTAAGGAATGTGTGAGATAAAAAACCTCAAGGAATTATTTAATTGCACCAGTTGCTGTAAATTATCAAATATGATGAGTCAAATGTTTAAATTGCTACAGGATATAAATGAATAAAATAGATGTTGAATTAAACCATTTAACTTCAATACATGTGAAACAT